CCACCCGCACCCCATCCCATGCCCTGCCCCCACCCCCCATCCTAGGGTCCGCCCCGGCCCTGGGGATAGAGACCCCCTTAAAAGTATCGATCCTGTTTGGCTTTGTCCCTTTAAAGGCGGGCCCAGGGGCATGGCCTCCCTCGAGTGGAGCGCCCACTCTGGCCTCACTTCTTCCCGAGCCCCCCACGCACTCCCCACGCCTTCATTGTAAATAGTCTCTTTTGTACTGGGTTTGAGCCAGGGGACGTGGGGAGTCATTTTTTTTTTTTCCTTTGTGTTGGCATCTCAGGCCACTGGAGGCATGGCCCAATTCTGGTTCGATTTGGGAGGATCCCAAGGTGTGTCCCCTCACCTGCCCCCCCCCTCCCCCCCCCCCCGTGCTAAGGATTCCAAGATATCGGTATTGCTCCTAGCGGGATGGGGTGCACAGATGCCCCCAGCAGGGAGATGGGAGAGGTGTGGAAAAGTGTAGTCTGACGGCAGGCCTCAGTTTTGCCCTTCTACGGAATGAGTCCATCCTCTGAGTTTCCTGAGGAGCCTCAGTGAGATGAGTCGGAGGAGTCAGAATCTCTCTTCCCCTTTTCTCTGTTGGAGACAGGGTAAAGGAAGAGTGGGGGAAGGAGGCTGGAGGGCCCTCTTTGGAGTTCAGATTGCTAAATCCTCCTTGGGACCTCAAGCTAGCCTCCTCCTCAGGGTTGTTCTCTCTCTCTGAGAATGGGGGACTGGAGGATCTCTACGGTCCCTCGGTTTCCCCAGTCCTTAGATTAAAAGGCCCGAGCCCCAGGCTGGCCCCCTGCCTGCTGTCCTACTCTGACATTCCATTTCTTGGAATGTGGCCATGCCTCCAGTGCCTCCATTCAACCCTCTCTAACTGCTCCTTCCATCCTCTGCGACCAGAGACGCCGCCCACCTCCTCCCCACCACCTCCAGAAGCTCCTGGCTGGGGCCCACTGCCGTCTCCTCCCCCTCCCCCCATCGCCATGCCTGGGCCACGCCCACCCCACCCACTCACCCTCCCCCAGTGTCCGTCGTGTGACCTAGTGCACCATGTATTAGCTTCCATGGCCCCCACCCCAGCCCCCACCACACCCCCTTCCCCCACCCCTTCTCCCTCGGCGACTTCACCTTTTTTTGCCGCGATAAACGCCATCTCAGCATCTGTGTCTAATGTTGTCTTTTTTGCTTGACATCACACACTCCTTCTTAACCCATCCCCTTTCCTCTCCTTCCTCCCTGCACCTCCACCCTCATCCTAAATTCTTTCCCCCAGGGCTCTGGGCATTTAGGGGAGGAGGGTGGGGAGGGACCCCTGAGGATGGTCCCAGCTGGGGGAGGAGGGAAGGGACGATTGTTCTCTCTGGACCGGGAGAACATCCAGAGCAACTAAGGCTGAGGGAAACGAGTGCTCAATGTTTCGCTTCCAGGGCTTCAGTGTCCAGTCAGGAGAATCACCACCATCACCCTCACACATGGCCAAACTACAGTCCCACAGACACACTCCTGAACGCACAATCCCCAAACACAGCACTGCCAGTACACAAGTAGAATCAGGATAGCCCAGGATGAAGGTTTTAAGTCAGGTGAGATCAGGGTTCAGATCCCAATGTGTCTGAGACGTTGCCCGTCTGAGTCTCTATCTCCCCATCTGTAAAATGGGGATTTTTTTTTTATGTTATTTCTACATCACATGGTTTATGCTTAGATTCAAGACACTATTCACTTAAGAAAACAAACAAAAAAAAGATTATTGAGCATGTACTAGGTGTAAGGCTCTGTTCTAGGGTGCTGGAGATAAAGTGATGAACAGAACAGGCCCAGATATCTCTGCCTTTGTAGAAGCCACAGACTTACTGGAATCTGGAAATTCTTAGTACAGAACCTGGCACATGGGACTAAAAGCAACTCAAAGGTTGCAAGCCTTCAGCCAGCAGGCAGACCTGGCTTCCACAATTTCATTTTAACAGTGTTTTGTGTGAACATGTTGCCAGCATTTAAACATTAAGAAGCTTCTCCTGAACATGTGAGTTTCAGGGCCATCTTGAGAAATCCCCTGCGACATCTTTGGTTGTAATCACCACCTAGCCATAATGGGCTGGCATGGGGCAGCCACTGCCCCCATCCAGGGCAGAGAGCCCTGACCCTACCTTACCTGCACTGCTTTTTTGTGTGTGACATGCCTCACTCCTGGAGTGAGTTTGCAGTCCCTGAGTAGATGCTTAAAACTAATAGCCTAGGCTGAGCTTGGTGGCTCAGCTTGTAAACCCAGCACTTTGGGAGGCCAAGGCAACTTGGGGAGACCTCATCTCCACAATAAATCCAAAATTAGCCAGGCATGGTAGCATGACCCATAGTTCCAGCTACTTGGAAGGTTGAGGCGGAAGGATTGCCTGAGCCTGGCAGGTGGATGCTGGGGTGGCCGTGATTGTGCACTACACTCCAGCCTGGGCGACGGAGTGAGACTCCAACACAAAAAAACAACTAATAGCCTTATATGTTGGAGGTGTTGGAGATGCTGCTGATTAGGTGATGACATCCAAGCAGGAGAAAGGACAAAGTTCTAGATGGAGAAACAAAAGAGATGGAGACATGGTGGGGCGGGGTCAGATACTCAGATTCAGGTGTGACCCAGGGAACCTTGCCTTCTCTCTGTGGGTTTCAATCTCCACTTCTGGAAAATGCCCTACAAAGCTTTCTTGCCTTCTGGAATATTCCAGAAAGATTCCACATGCGAATCACCCCTTCAGCACCTGACATAAAGGAGATATGCTCTGTGGGAATCACCAGAGACTCCCACAGCTGAAAAATAACAATAACATGATTCTATAAGTTAGAACCCAAGGTGGAAGGAGAAAGGAATGCTGAGGCTAGGATAAAGAGAAGAGACAGCCATGGGGATGGAGAGAAGAGGGGTAGACATGGAGATGAGGGCCCAACTGCTTGAGGGTGTGTTTGTTTATGCATTCATTCATTCAATAGTCATTTACTGAGCACCTGCTATGCTCTGGAGCCTAGGGATATGGTGATAATGACCACATTTATAGCCCATGAGCCATATCCCCCCACTCTGGGTACATAGTAAGTACTCAAAAGTCTACCATCCTGGGAGTCCCAGGCACCTCTGGTCCTGGTCTGTGATCCTCAAGTATCACCTGGTATTTGGAAATATCACCAAGCCAGGCCATTTTCAGGAAGAGGAAAAAATTTTCATCAAGAAGCTGGGAAGTTAGAAGGGATTTGGAGGGAGAGCGGTGGGGATACTTTCTGTTCTGCTGTGTGATTTGGGGAAACGCTCATGACCTCTCTGGCCCAGAAGGTGGAAAGGAAAGGAGATGAGGTCAGGATGAAGGTGAGTAATTGGAGATTCCTAGCTCCCTCAAAGCCCCCAAACCTTCTCCCCTGGGCATGGGTGGAGTGTGGAGAGAATTATAGGGGTGGGGACCCTCAATGAGAAGACAGATGAAGAAAGAAGACAGACAAGTTGCCTGGAAGAGAGAGAGGTCCCTAGAAACAGAACTGGGAGAGGAGAAGGAGGGGCCTAGGTGGGGACCTGGGTGGGTCTCAGGGGTGGCCCTGCACATCAGAGCCAGGTCACTAAGAGGGAGGAAAGCAGAGAAGGTGGAGATGGACTGAAGAGAGGGAGGAACAGGAGAGCGATGGAGATAAGGCTGTCAAGAATGAGCAAATAAAAATACTGCACACATCCAGTGAAATTTGAATGTCAGCTTTAAAAAAATTTTTTTTAGCCGGGCTTGGTGGCTCAGCCTGTAATTCCGCGCTTTGGGAGGCTGAGGTGAGTGGA